GCCCTGAATCGGAGAGCCTGTATATGCCCTTTGAAATCCAAGGGGCCAATACGTCAGAACCCTTTAAAGCCAAGGGACCTTCCCTGCGGAGTGATCCCAGACAAGGTCTGCTAGGTGGGTGGCAAAAGATATTCAGGCACCATGTCTAAACCCTAAACCCTAAACCCTAAGGTTTTGTGGCGGGAACGCTGAGGCCTGGGAGCCCCTAAGAGGGATAATCGTACACCCTCCGCTGGAACAATCCCTTGTTAAGGACTGCGAGTAGAAGGGGGAAGGTCCCAACCTGACAGCCTCAAGGCCCCGGGTTTAGGGTCGGGTTTTGGGGGCTGTTAGGGTCTTAGGGTCTCAGGGTCTTAGGGTCTTTGGGTCTTAGGGTCTCAGGATCTCAGGGTCTTAGGGTCTTAGGGTCTTAGGTTCTTAGGTTCCATGCCAAGCCCGAGGCCCACCACTCCAGAGCAGCTACATCGGGCGCCGGGCTGCCAGCCGTGAGCGCCTCCAGACCTTGCCAGACGGCACCTTGGGTCTTGACCCCCCTTTAAAGGGCCCAAGAATTCTGGGGGACTAACTGAACCCTAAAAGAGTTCATGGTTCATCTACCTTACTAGGACTGGGAGTAGGCCCTTTTTCCTTTTTTAGGGTTGGGGTTATAATCCCCTTAAACCAAAAGGGCACCCTTTTTATTCCTAGGTTACTCCCGGGTCTAGCTTAATAGGAATTACAGGTAGTATAGGGTAGATGACCCCCAAGCTTAGGGTTCATCTCGTCCCCAAGGACCCCTTCGTGAAGGAAGGCACCTTATATCATTCTAAGGATCCCTATACAGTTTAAGGTATGTTCCTATAATTGCGTCACTCTGGGATATGACGCAGGGGCTTCTCTAAATTATGGGCCCTTATATCTATCTGTCCAAAATGAATATCCATACGTATATATATATATATATATTTATTTATTTATTTATATACATATCTGTTTCAATGGGCACCCTGTATAGAAGCTTTTTTGTATTTGTCAAGGGGAAGGCTCCGTATTATAATAGGATCTCCCAAACGGACCATCTTTTTAGGGGAATTTCCCATAGCTCGTACCACCCGGACTCGTGGAGGGAGTAAATTAGGGTTTAGGGTTTAGGGTTTAGGGTTTAGGGTTTAGGGTTTAGGGTACTTAGGGTACTTAGGGTACTTAGCTACAAGGTAAGGCATGTATGGGCAGGGTCCTGCGTAGGGGTCCTTACCCGTGCCCAATACCCCTAAGTCATGGAACGTCCCAAGCCCAGCATACCCCTTTCTTATGGAGCATGCCCGAGAAGTACATCAGAGTCCTTGTTGTGTATGAGTGCACCTTCCTTGTCATGAAGGGGTAGTGGGTTTCTTTTTTGCGTGAACGGTTATGCTGAGCTTGTTCAAGATACCACCCGTGAACCCGGAACCCTTCATTTCCGATCTCCTCGCTCCTCAAACATCGGCCCCGGGAATCACAGTTCCCAAGGCCAGTGAAGCTGCTTGCGAAGAGGGTTTTTGTGCAATGGCAACTGAGAGAACCCCACGACCCTTAATTGCGTAACGTATGACTTGAGGTGCTTCCCCGAGTCAAAGCTCAAAGAACCCCAAAGCCCTTCATTAAGGAACAGACCCTAAACCCTCCTAGATTGTCCGAGTGGGAGCGATTATGCCCTAAACTCCTTAACCCTAAGCTCCAAACCCTAAACCCCAAACTCCAAACCCTAAACCCTAAATCCTAAACCCTATATAAACTCTAAACCCTAAACTATTAACTACGCAAAAGGGACTTGCGCCCATTTATCTGCTAAGGTACAGCCTCTGCGCGAGCACTGGGCCATGCGGCCAGCCCTCCCAACACAAACATCAGCAAGCGCTGTGGCAGAACCCGGAGAGCCTTTTCGGGTTTGTTTAGGGTTTAGGGTTTAGGGTTTAGGGTGCAACAGGGTTTGGTTTTAATATCCCTTGATTCAGCAAGATACCTTGAACCAGAACCAGCTAGGGATTCTTGCTATGATTTGTGAGTTAGAGTGGTACTAGGGTCTTTGGCAGAAGACCTGCACAATGCGACGACTTCGGGCACAGCGGCAATCGAAGCACCACCAAAGCTCCTTTTTGGGGTTTTAGGGTTTAGGATTTCGGGTGCAGGGTGCACGCAGCAAACTTGAAAGGTCTGCGAGGGCGAATCGGGATCCCTAGGTAACAAAGTGAACCTTGAACCTCAGCACTTAGACGAATGCCCCTTAGGTAAGGAATGTACTTCAAGTCATTAACAAGGCTTACAAATATGGGCAACCCCTTTTTACCCTTTCTAATCGATTTAGTCCTAATCCCCTTGAAGGGACCCCAACAAGGGTACACCTATTTTTGGAAACCCTTACAGGGCCCTAATCATAGGGCCCTAAACCCTAAACCCTAAACCAGCGTCGGCCTCTGGATCTGTATCCTTCTCCTCGATGAGCTCAGGCAAGCCTATGCCCACTGCGGGCAGTCAGCGCCGACGACGGGCAGGAAACCTAGTAGCTGAATGAGTACACTTTACACTTTTTTTGGGGGGCTACTCTAATCCCTCCCAAAAGAACTGAAGGTGTACACTTTTGGGGCTGCTATCATCCCCCTATAGAACATACACTTTAAAGGTTAAAGGTTACCTACTCTACTACTGGCTAGTAGTAGAGTAGGTAACCTTTAACTTTTTTTTGTTTGGGGGGGGGGGGGGGCTTCTGAACTCAGCAACTAAGGAAAGCTCACAGCGTCCAGGTTCCAGTGCCAGTGCTGCCAGTGCCCGACGTGGACGGGCGCATGGTGGCCCAGGCCGCACGACTCACAAGACGTGTCTTTTTAGGGTTTAGGGTTTAGGGTTTAGGGCTAGGGTTTAGGGTTTAGGGCTTAACGAACAGGAGATCCCTTCAACATTTATTAGATATAGATGAATAAACGAAGATTTTCTATAATGCATATCTATCTAGATACTTTTATTTGTCTATGTATATTTTTGTGTATGCAGTTAGAGGTACCTTGCCTAACTGAGGGGTACTGCCCTCCCCCCAAAAAATAAAACAAAAACCGCAAAACTAAATGAAGTGAAATATAACAAATGAAACACTTTGGAAGTGTTCCCCCTTAAACTAGCAGCCCTTAATAGGGATCATAGTAGGGGTACTTTGAGGACTGTTAGTATAAGGGGGAACCTTCCAACAAATGAAACCCAACCCTAAACCCTAAACCCTAAACCCTAAACCCTGCTGGCAGAGAGCGCGTGCCAAAACCCTAAACCCTAAACCCTAAACCCCAAACCCCAAACCCCAAACCCTAAACCCTAAACCCTAAACCCTAAACCCTAAACCCTAAACCCTAAACCCTAAACCCTAAACCCTAAACCCTAAACCCTAAACCCTAAACCCTAAACCCTAACCCTAAACCCTAAACCCTAACCCTAAACCCCCTACCCCCCCCCCCAAAAAAAAAAAAAAAAAAGAAACAAAAACAAAAAACAAAAAAAGAAAAAGAAAAAGAAAAAAAAAATAAAAGCACGGAGGCCATGCCGAAGAAGCAGAATCAGACGTCCAACATCGCGATGGCCCCTTGTGCCAACCCCAGCTTCGGTGGCTGTGTCCTGGCAGGGTTTAGGATTTAGGGTTTAGGGTTTAGGGTTTAGGGTTTACGGTTAGGGTTTAGGGTTTAGGGTTTAGGGTTTAGGGTTTAGGGTTTAGGGTTTAGGGTTTAGGGTTTAGGGTTTAGGGTTTAGGGTTAGGGGTTCGGGGTTTAGGGTTTCAGCCCTAGGGTTTCGGGTTGGCGGGTATCTTCTAAAACCCAATAGTTAAGGAGCATTCTACATCATGTAGGATAATTGCTTTATGAGGGTTTTTGAGGTCGATTCCTTCGTTAACCAAATTTCGAATTCGAAGGTCTGGGTTGTGGAGGGCGCCGGTGGCCCACAAGTGTTGCCTTAGGCGTTCGCATCAACCCTAAACCCTAAACCCTAAACCCAGAGATGGCGGAGGAACTCAAAGCCTTTTAGGTTTGAGGCTTAGGGTTTAGGGTTTAGGGTTAGGGTTTAGGGTTTGGGGTTTAGGGCTAGGGTTTAGGGTTTAGGGCGTAGCCGGGCTTAGCCCACGCTCCTACCCCAAACCCTAAGCCCTGTGTCGGCCGTGCGCAGCCCCCCAAAGCAGATCATCGAGGCCGTAGGCATGTAGGGTGCTCATCATTCAGCGTCCATTCACGAAACCCTAGACCCTGAACCCTAAACCCTAAGCCCTTAGCCCTAAACCCTGAACCCTGAACCCTATGCCCTATAAACCCTAAGCCCTCAGCCCTAAGCCCTAAACCCTAAACCAATTTCTGGGGGCAAAGGGTGGAAGACCAGGCATGGATGCCTCCTGCATGAGCTGTGCCGGCCGGAGCACCCTGGGAACCAATGGGAAGACTGAGGCCCAGCTGGGTTTACGGATGTCCAGAGACACACCATATCCTACTGCTTGTTAAAAATAACCCTAAATTCAAAAGACTCTTCCTTATAAGGGTCACAGAGGGATTGTGGTCCTTTGTTTTTTTTTTTTTTTTTTTTTTGGGGGGGGGGGGGTTCTTGTGACAGCTTGGCCTGAGTGGATCGGGCTCGTATGCTTTGCTTCGCCCACCCAAGCACTAAGCCCTGTTCCTTCATATGCCACGCCGTAGGATTCGTTACAGCACCAAATTATGTTTGCGAGCAGCCTAAACCCTAAACCCTAAACCCTAAACCCGTGCAGCTGGTAGCTGTGTCTGTGAGCTCTTTCCAGGTTTTTCAGAATCGCTTTAGTTCAGAAGCCGTTATACTTACACCTTCAAACCAGAATAGGAACCCAAAGGCGATGTAAGGGTTGTTCCTGAACTGACCTTGGAAGATCTGGGTTTTCTTGTTGCTGTTACTTGCAGTGTCATGCGAAGATGTCAGGGGATATTCCTCTCAAACTTTCCATCTGTGGCAGCCCTGCTCTCTGATAATACTGACCTCGCTAAAACATGGCGATTGTGGATGAGTTTGTGACTGGTGTGAGACCGTCAGTGGACACCATCTACCCTTCTTATCCGACGTATCCTTCCCTTGGGCTTCACGGGCAGCCTTGGGGCCAGCCTTGGGGAGACACACCCTACCAGGTGCTCCCCTCACATCTCAATCGGCTGCTTTACGGCAGCCTGACTTTGTCAGAGTCCGTGTCCGAGAATGGCTCGGAGGACTATGGGAGCTCCGTTAGTGGAGATGTAGGTCGCATGGAGTTGAATGGCAGCCCGTCCTCAAATGTGACGATAAGGCCTCCTCCCGGCCTAAGCCAGGACATCGGTGAAGTGGCAAAGGTTTACCCAGTGAGCCAGCTTGCCTCATGCGGTCTACCCTTCCTGCCTTCTCCAAGCGGCTTCGCCAACAAGAAGATTACCGCCCCCCCACCCCCCCACCCCACTCCTTCGAGCACCAAGCCACAAGCGGCGTTCCAGATTTTCAATTTTGCCGTAATCTTCAAAGGCTACGACCTGGAGAAGCATGCCGCCTTCGAGCTTGTCCCTCGCTTGATCGGCCGCAATGCCGACAACATGAAGAAAATCTACAAGACTGGGGCCGGCGCACGCGTTCGTGGTCGCGGGAGTGGCTGGAAGGAAGTCAAGTCACCCCATGGCAACTGCGAAAGGGATGAAGAACCGCTCCAGTTGGCTGTTTCGTGCCGTTCGGGGGAGATCAGGGAAGCGGCGCCCCTGGAACTGATGGGGGAAATAGCTTTAAAGTTCTTTGGGCCCTATACAACATTTCATGACCCTATAAAGTCTTTGTGCAACCCTTTATATCCCTATATGCAACTCGTCCCAGGTTCAAGGAGACAATGGTGCTGGTGATCAAGGGCTCGATGTCACCAGAAGCTGCGAGTTGCAGGGTTTAGGGTTAAGGGTTTAATGGTTTTTTTCAGCTGCTAACTTGAACTGTGAGCTGCGACAAATCTGTGGCATCTTGCCTGATGTAACACGTGGGGTCTTTTGGATGATGTTTGCCAAAGCAAATCGCCTTATCCAGTTCCATCTCATTCGGCTCAGTGGCTAACCCACGGCATGAATGGATGCAAGACTCGTCACCACGCAAGAAGAAGAGGAAAAGACGGACACGAACATGCAGCTCGGTCTGCACGGCCCTTGACCCAGCATCTTCGTTCCTCCGTATGGTCACTGCATCTTAGGCCAAAGGATATGACCCTAAACCCTATAGCCTAAACTCTAAACCCTAAACCCTATACAGGAACCCAAATTCTACTCGGTCACTTTTTAACCTAAACCACACCAAGTCACAGCCCCCAAATGCCAGGGGAAGACATGGTCGAAAAGACTCATTATGGTACGTATCCTAAACCCCTAAACCCTGAACCCTATACCCTAAACGCTGAACGCTTGCTCTGCCTTTGCCAGGTTTTTCCAGCAAATAGAAGGATATTTTCTTAACATGATCGGGGGGGGGCCTCGAACATGATTGGGCGAAGTTGCTTAACTTCCGGGGTATACCCTAAACCCTCAATCCTAACCCTAATGGGTCCTTACCATGAACTAAGGCGTGTTCCTTTCACTAAAGGTTTCTGTGTGGCATTCCGGGTAGGGCAATGTTTAGGGTTTAGGGTTGTAGGTGGTCTTCTAAAATCAGACACCCCATGATCAAGGCTGCAATCCCCACTTGAATAAGGATGTTCTGGTTTAGGATTTAGGGTTAAGGGTCCCACTCGGCAAAATGGACTGCCGACCTTTCATGAGTATATGGCGGTGGCGACAGAGCCTTAGGCATTTATTGCGGGGTGCAGGGCAGGGCCAGCCTAGTATGGAAAATGCTTGGTGTCAGCCCTCAACCCTGAACCTTATCTATCCTCCGAAGCCCTGAAACCCAACTAACTAAACCCTAAAACCTTAAACCCTAAACCCTACTAGACAGGCCCGGGGCATCTATGTCGATCCCAACCGGCTTCCGCTGGCAGCTTGGCTGAAGTAGGAGCGGGGTTCCTAAACCCTAAACCCAAATACCCAAAACCCTTAATCCTATAAACCCTAAACCCTAAATACCCCAAACCCTAAACCCTAAACCTGAATGGAAAGCTTGGGTTTGCAAGAGGCAAAGGACGCGCCAGCTGCACCTGAGTACCGTACTGAAATGGCCTGGTGGTCTCTTTAAGTAGGGTTTCTGTTTTAGAGGGGGCATATGTTCGGAGTTCTTATTTGAGTTTGTAGAGGCTAGATTAAGGTATAAGGGTAACCTTTCAAGAGGCCACCAGCCTCTGCAATACCTAAGCAGCCTTGAAAATCCTTTAGTCCAGGTATAGACCTGTCAATCAGAATCTTGCTTGAAAACCTAAACAAATAGTAACAGAGAAGAACCCCTATATTACCCTTATAAACAGGCCAAACGACGGCAAACCCAGAGAGGCAAAGTTCCCCCGTCATTAAAGAAGATGAAGATGCCTTGTAATTATCTGACATAAAGGGACGCTTGTCATGATTTAAGATGCATTCCTGAATTATGTGGGGCGTAGTGAGGGCTTTTGAGCCCTGGGACAGTTTCGCTGAACTCAGGGTGCCAGAAGCGTTGCGGTCCCACAACTCGAAACATGTGATTTCCAGGACCCAAGCCAAGAACTCAACAAATGCAGTGGCCGCAGCAGCGCAGGAACTAGCCACTTTCGCTCTGTTCCCAGAAAGAAGCTGGGTCATGCGTCAACTCCTTTTGACACCACAGCTTGCCGATACAATCTTAGGTCCGAGCCCCCCGCCCACCCCCACCCTCCCTCGGATGTGCCCAAAGAGCCCAATACTCTTGCAGCAAGGAACGTACCTTAAACCATATAGGGACCCTTATACCGATTGAAGGTATACGTCTTGTTCAGGGGGTTATTGGGCTGTTTGGTTGAGCCTGCAGAGTCGAAGCAGACGTCACCTGTGATGATGGCGACAGCGGTGATGATGATGGTGGTGGTAGCGGCGATGGTGATGTTGATGATGATGATGGTGTGACGCTTTTCTCTAAGAGCGTACGTGCTACGCCGGGTAATCGGCTGGCGTGCAAGCTCGTGACTATTGTTACCATCGCTGCTCTCATGCTCTCATGATGACTCATGATGCGCAGTCTGCAGGCCCACGCGTCACCGACCACAACCTCTAGGATGATGTGGTCTCCGCAAGTCACGTGCCTCGGAGACCCAGTTATTTCCCGGGAAGGGCGGACTTCCTACTGCAACTGAACCCCAAACCTGAATCCTGACAAGCCACCCAAAACGATTAAACCTCCTAACCCCCCCCCCCCCCAAGGCCGCAATGAAAGCAGCATATATTCCCTAAATCGTACCAGGATCCTTTTCATAATTTGAGGAATATTCCTCAGCTATGGGGTGGCATACTTGTAGCCCTACCTCTCACTACCCCCTAAACCCTAAAACCCAAACCTTCAACCCTTTCTTACTCATAGATATATACATATATCATTTGCTTGTTAATTTCATTTCTTTACAAACCCTGTTTGACTTTTGGTCCGTCGGGTACCGGTGTTGCTCAGATTTCGGTCAATCGACACCAGTGTTGTTCAAATTTCGGTCCATGGGCACCGGCATTGTTCAAATTTCGGTCAATCGGCACCGGTATCTTTCAAATTTCGGGCAATCGGCACCGGTGTTGCTCAAATTTCGGTCCGTGGGCACCGGTGTTGTTCAAATTTCGGTCAACCGCACCGGTGTTCTTCAGGGCGTGGGGTTTAGGGTTCAGAGCGTAGGGTATAGGGCAAGATGTTGGGTTCAGGGCCTAGGGGCGGCAATTGTTTAGGGCCTTCTGGGCCTTGGGCGATTTAAGCTGGCTTGAGGAATTCTATTGTAATCTAACATGGAATTTTACCGGTTCTTAAATGTTATGGGGCCCTTTGGGCGGGTGGTTTTTGCAAGGCTCGATAAACTGCTTGACAAGCGAATGCTTGGACATGCTGAACCCTAAAACCTAACCCTAAACCCTCAACCCTAAACCCTAAACCCTTTGGGGTCTCTGGGTTATCCCCTTCAGGTGCCGCACTGTGAGCAAGACCCCCGTGCCAAGCAGCCCGATCTTTCCGAGCCGGGACATTGGCTTGGGTTGACGTAGTGGCTGGGTTTCGGGCTTTAGGGTTCGAGGATGTAAGGGCAATCCAGGGGAAAGTTGCAAAAAGGTTTTAGTTTTATTTTTTTTGTTTTTTTTTGGGGCGGGGGGGGGGGGGCAGGGTTGAGTTTAGGGTTTATTTAGGGTTTAGGGTCAGGGTAAACTCTAACTTCAAGTTTTCGGGTAGGTATAGTATAAGCCTACCAGAACCATGAAGTTAACCTGTCTTGTGTTTGAGTTCTGGCTTTGGTAGGCATGTCACAAACATTTGCCCAGTTTAGGGTTTAGGGTTTAGGGTTTAGGGTGTCTCTTCAACACTTTCTCATCATCCTGGCAGTCAGCAAAGTCCAGCTTCCAAAAGGGTGTTGGGTTTAGGGTTTAGGGTTTAGGGTTTAGGGTTTAGGGTTTAGGGTTTAGGGTTTAGGGTTTAGGGTTTAGGGTTTTGTTTCTCAAGGAATGCGTCCTGCCATGCGCACTCGCCGGTGGAAGGGTGACCGTACGAGTTTTAAGTATATAAGCCTTAATTATATCGACCGCACATGTCTCTGGCACAGGATCTGCGAAGACGTGCATCTGCTACTAACTCCGTTAAGGTTTCGATACCTCTTCCAAGCGTTTCCCTATCTAGACTCGAATTTTGAACAATCACCCAAAAGTAATGGAGGATTCGGACGAACTACTCTACAGTTATACTATAACCCCCAATACCCTATTCTAATTATTCAGGCCCCTATACTAGGCCTCTTGTCAAGCAAGTAGGGCAAACAAAAGCCCCTCAACCACAAACCCCAAACCCCAAACCCTAAACCCTAAACCCTAAACCCTAAGCCCTAAACCCTAAACCCTAAGCCCTAAACCCTAAACCCTAAACCCTAAACCCTAAACCCTAAACCCTAAACCCAACCAACTGTTCGTGTTGACTGCCTGCTGAACTGAGACGAGGACCCCTGCACCCAATCAGACTGATATAGCCAATTTCCCTGCAGAGTGTCCGAGAGGTCAGCTAAGCGGGTGGCAAAAAAAAAACCCTAAACCCTAAACCTGGGAGGACATGACTTTCGCAGTGACGCTTGGCTGATCGCATTATGTGACACAGGCGTCTTTTCTGTGACTGTTCTTGACGGGTTTGTATAGGGTTGAGGGTTTGGGGTTTAGGGTTTAGGGTTTAGGGTTCAGGGTTCAGGGTTCCTTAAACGAAGAGTTTATATTGGGATGTTCCCCCTCATGCTGACAGTCCTAAATGGGGATTGTAATCGGGGCTACTCTAGAATCCCAACGAAGGACTACCCGGATGGGGGCAGCATCACATGACATAGGGTTCCTAAAAAAGAAGAGAGGGTATAGATTGGGTGTCCTTTTGAACAGTTGGTTTGATTCATGTCGCACTCCTGAATATTTGTGTTTGATCGTGTACATGTTGTTTCACTCTCAGTTCTGATCGTGACACACGATCGTTCAAGGACCCGTCCTTCTCTGAGGATACGAATCATAAAGACCCCTCCTTCATGTCCAAAGCATGTGGTCAGGTCTTCTAGACTGTATGATAGCCCAAAGGAGCTTTGGCTGAGTCGCGAGTCATGGCAATTCAGGAGTGGTGCGGGAACTTAAATTAAGCCCTAAAACTCTAAAAGCCCTAACAGAGCACCCGACAGCTAGATCCATAGGCTGTTTGCTTCAAGGACAATAGCGATTCTCAGGCAATGCTTGGAGGTTCGGTACGTATAAGCAGGGTTGTATGCGTGGCAACTGTA